TGTATCATGCCATTTTATACCACTCTTATAAGATCAATAATATGTGTATATACTCTATTATACACATTCATAAGAATTTTGTATGGCACATTAACTCCCAGCTGCTCACCATCATTTTCTACACAATGACATGCGCAACTTGAAACATATAGAGGAAATTAGCTATTTAATATTTCCTTAAAGGCTCTAAGTATTAACTATAAATGCAGAATACGAACTGATTAAACCTCTTCTCCATAGGGCTATGTATGGCAGAAGGTAACTCCGGACTTGTGCATTGTTCTTCTGTTAAAATTTAAATTGCTTGGGAAAAAAAACCCACTAGCTAATAATACACCAAAACGAGAGAAAGATTAGTATCTTCAGACAGAGAATCACAAAGTGGCAGAGGTTGTCAGGAAAGACATCTTGAGATCACCTCCCAGCAGCTTGCCTAGCACCATGTCCAGTAAGCTCTCAGTTATCTCCATGGATGGAGGCTCCACAACCTCCCTGGGGAATGTGGCCCTGGACCACTTCACAGTAAAAGTGCTTTCTTCTGTTCAGATGGAATTTGTATATTTCCGTTTGTTCCCATTGATACTGGCCTGTCACTAGGCACCACTAAGAAGTGATCCCAGACAGCAGTGCTGCTGTTTTCTCCAAGCTGTAATGGTAGGGATTTTTGTCTAACATATTTGAAAACATCAAAATATTAAGCAGTTTCTTAAAAAGAATCTTTATGCCCCAGCATACTTTTTGTTAGTTTGCGGTCTGTCACTGTGCCTGCTCTGCTACCCTCTACCTGAAACAGGCACAGGGCTGGGAGGGAAAAAAGGATAAAAGCAGCAAGATCCACTCAGTTCTAGCCTTTTGTGTTTAGGTGGTGATAGTTTAAGAGGAGAATGGCAGTGGTGCTAAAAATAAATTATTTTGTGAGGTCGGATATTTAGGAATTGAATTATAAGGAAGTGCAAGGATCCTTGGAGAAAGCAGCTAGACAAGCTTCAGGCAAAAAATGCTACTGCAAAATTCAGAGGAAGACGTTAAGAATGCCATTTTAGTGATATTTTTCCTTGCTTAATACAGGAAGGAAATATTTACTCTCTGATTTTTTTATACCTGCCATATGAGACAATGCTAGAAGTTCATTCATTTTAGATCAGTTCTGAATTTTAACAGAATCACTAACAAACTGTCCACTAAATCTACATCTATGTACATCTGCTTACACCAACATTTAATGCAAGAGTTCGTATTTCATGAAAGCACATTTTTCAGAAACACAACTAATCTTGATCTAGATGCATAAAAGACAAGGAATCCAATGCTTCTCTTTGAAGTCTGTGCCAGTGTTCGATTAAAATGATAGTGATGATCAATCCTACAAAGAGTCCAGCTGAATCCATGAAAGCAGTAACACCTAATACACTTTTTCACTTTTCTGTCTGGCTTCCCAATAGACTTATCTCCTATTACTAAATACACTTGGGCTCCCCCCTGCCCCAATCTAATTGAACTTATAATTCAAGAAAGGACTTGCACATGTAACTTATTCAGAGTCAGAGAAAATGGCAAAATTACCATATTCTCACTCAAACAAGCAGCACAGGCTCATGTTATGATGGAGTAAGCCAGATCATCTGGCAGGTGAACCATTCCACAGGAAAGTAAGTTCCAAACTACTTCAAAGAAATTTGATGCCCAAGACAGCAAATGATACCTTGTCTATAGAGACAGCCAAACAAGTCCCATCTGACGTATCCGGACAGAAACACGGTGATCACTATTTCACTGACCCGCAGAAATGTGCAGTCTCTAATGCCTGAATTGATGAGATAATTGATAGTTGTTTTCTTGTTGGGATATTACAATGGAAACTAACTCCGTCGAGCTACTTTTGAAGGTCCCAAATTTAACTATTTTCCATAGACATTAAACAAGTTTGAAGTGCATGTGATTTCTAACTACACTTGTGTTAATTAACAAGTGTTAATTGAGTAAGAAAAGTTAACAAATATATTTATCTTTTTATCTTATCATTAGCTTGAGGATTTCAAAGTAACTTCTGAGAATATTCCTAAGATAAGTAGTCCATGATTCCACTGAGTCACACAAGGAATCTCTGGAGGCTTGGGAACAGAAGCCAGATCATGTGAATCCTGAAGCATTCTCAAGCCACTAGGAAACACTGCTTAATTAATTTAGTTAATATTTACACTCTGCATAGGAAAACAGAAATATTTAAATGACTCCTAATCTAATGATACTGTGCTAATGACCTGAGCTAAGGACTTGAGATATTACTGAAGATTTTGTGAGTTAATTAGAAAAGGCATCACTTCATAGAAGACAGATGCTCACTGTGATGATAACCAAGCTCAAATAATCAAAAATTAGGTCCCAACTTACATGTGATAAAGCTAAACAAAAAATAGTAATTAATGGCACAGATATCAAATATTTTGGATGAACAGGATTGGATGATATAAGCTGTATAACTTGGTCTGAAGAAATATCACCAAGAGGAACGTGTTTAGAGCAGCGTTCGGTGTCCTTAACAGAGCCCATCAATAGCTTTGTTATTTTGTTAGTAAAGTTACATGATCCAATTAATCTTCACAGGCAAGTGTTATTTCAGAGACAAATGAAGTGTATTGAAGCTAGTGAAACCTCTCCATTCACAAGGGATTTTAGTTACCCATAAGATCTTCAGGTTGAGAAGCTTTAAGCATTTCAGGCAGCAGGAGACCTAGGGCTGTGAATAAAGCATCTTTTAAATCTTGATCTTGGTCTTTTTCTATAAATGTAACAAACTTCAGGATTAGGGACTGTATCACCAATCCTTATTTTTAGATAACCCTTGGAAGCATAACAGTCTTAGTGACATAGAGAGCAATACCAGTGCCAGTATCAGGGCTGTATCAGTTCTCCTGGTCACTAATAATTGCAATTGCTAGACAGTAGAATGTCATGGGATCATTGATCCTTGAAGGGACCTCCAACTTCCTGCTCAAAGCAAAGTTAGCCATAAAGTCAGATTAGGTTGCTCAGATCTTTATCCACTTCGGTCCTGAAAACTTCTACCAGCAACTGCAGAACTTTCCTATGCAATCTCTTCCATGGCTTGAAAATTCTCATGGCAAAAAAGGTTCTTCAGTCAGAACTTTTTTTGTTTTAAATTACGCCTTTTTTCTCTTCCACCACACATCACTGTGGGAAGTCTAACTCCATTTTCTTGATAACCTCCATATAGGTAATAGTGAGCTGATGCTCAGGTCATAGAATCAGAATGGTTTGAGTTGGAACCTTAAACTTCATCCACTTTCAACCCCTGCCATGGGCCGGGACACCTCACGCTAGACCAGGTTGCTCCAAGCCCCCTCCAACCTGGCCTTGAACACTGCCAGGGATGGGGCAGCCACAGGTTCTCTGGGCAACCTGTGCCAGCACCTCACCAGCCTCACAGGGAAGAACTTCTGTCTAATGTCTAACCTAAATCTTCCCTTAGTCAGTTTAAAGCCATTCCCCCTTGTACTGTCCCTACATGTCCTTGTAAAATGTCCCTCTCTGGCCCCTTTAGGTCACCTGAAGCCTTCTCTTCTCCAGGATCTTTCAAGCCCATTTCCCTCAGCTTCTTCTTACAGAGCAGTGCTCAAGCCCCCTCACCATCTTGGTAGCTCTCCACTGAACTCACTGAAGTTCATCAATATATTTCTTGAACTGGGATGCCCCAAACTGGACACCTTTCTAGATGTAGCCTACCAAGCGCTGAGCAGACGTGATAATCACTTCCCTCGGTTCACTGTTTGTGCTTCTATTAATGCAGCTCAGGATGTGGGAGGCCCTCTTTTCTGCTGGGGCACACTGCTGGCTCATGTTTATTGCTATCTTCCAAGATGACCAGGCCCAATTCAGGCAACTGCTTCCCAGCCAATCAATCCCCTACCTGTATCACTGCAGAGGGTTACTCCTCTCTATGAGCAAGACTTCGTATTTCACCTTCCTGAATTTCATGAAGTTCCTGCTGGCTCACTTCTCCAGCCTACCTAGGGTCTCTGACTGGCAGATCCAGGGTGTTAACTGGAGTCACCTAATAACTGTATGGGAGTGTCCTTTGCCACCTCCTACAGGTCATTGACAAGAGATGTTAAATAGGACAGGCCCTTGTACAGTGCAGCACTCCACTTGTAACCAACCTTCATTAATCACTATCCCCTGAGAGCAACTATTTAACACATTTATTTTTTCCCACCCATTCAGTTACCATCCAGATCATAATGTCCTATAAAGCACACTGCTTTTGCGATATAAATACTGATGCTAATATCAAATTCATAAGTCTCAGCAATGGTATACATGCAAAATCCTTAAACTGCCTGGACATAGAAAATTTGCACAGCATAGAAACAGCTTCCACTTCTGATATGTAGTACTCAACCATGCTTTTATTAATAATAAATGGCAGTTATTAATAAATGCTTGCTACTTTATATCCCAACTATATGCATTTAAGTGACTATTAGATGAGAAGAAAATAAGAAAAGGCTTACATTAAGCTCAATAAATGCTCACATATTAATGATAAACTGTGAAATACAATAGAATGTGATACATTCTGAAACTGTTAACCAATTGGAATAATTTCAACCTTTAACTTTGATATGTGAGATAAAAAAAATGCAACATAAGGACTTAGGCACACAAAAACATTTTCAAAGAATGTTCCTTCTCCTGACCACAGAAAAGGTAGTCACACCTCCCATCTCTGCTCCCACACAAACCAGATTCTAAGGATAGTACATGCTCTACTGTATTTTCACACAACATTTTCAACAAAACCAAACACATTTACTGGACAGTCAGAGAAAATTAAATTAAATTGCAGGTGGGAAAATTGTCCATTAAGCATTGTGAACTGAGACATTTTCAAAAAGATGTCATAGATAACTCAATTACAAAATTTTTTCTGGTTAAAAAAAGAAAAGCACATGTATGCTCTTGAAGTAGAGAAGACTTACAATATCATGGTGCCTGTTATCTTTCCCTGATATGATCAAGAAGTAGTTCCATGCCAGGAGCAACGACAAAGCCAGTGGTATCATGTAGAGCTCAAAGTTCCAGACCACAAAAAGAAAAAGCTAGAAGACAGAGCAGGAAAAAAAGTGATTCAAATCAGCATTACATTAAACTCCTGTGCACAGTTAAAACCAATAAATTAAAACAATTCTAAAGGAATCCAACTCTCCTTAGGCAGGAAAGTTGTTAACCACTTTGCCGAACAGCCACTTACTCACATGAAACAACTGCTACACTTAATTCGTGCAAAAGGAAAATTGATGCAAACTAAGAGGAATATGAATTGTATTAATTGTTCTGTTGTAAAATAATGCTTATGTAGGTAAAATAATGCAAGATAGCATAATAATAAAATCACAACTTAGGAAAGAAAACTTAGTTATTTCCATGGATAAAAAATAATAATTCTATTTAGAAGAAAGAACTCGATCATTTTGTAGTAATGTCACACAAGCAAGCAGAAGTAAACATCACAATTAAATCTGAAAAAAAGTATCTGTCTTCTTGCTAAAAAGAAGTCACATGGAAAGGTAAAAATGAAAGCAAGTAAAACAGTACTGACCACAGACTCCCTGAAAATGGGATTAAAAGGAATGCTGAGAAGCCACTTAAGTCCACCCCTTTGAAAACTGATTTGTTGACGTGCTTCCTCAGCCCCCTCGGGTGCTGCGTGGCTGGAAGCTGGCAGAAGCGTGTGCCTTGGTAACTGGGGATGCTCTCCAGTGATGAGGCCACACAAGGATCGCACCCCAGGAGAAACCATCTGTACACCTCAGATCTCTATCAGTTTCATATGCTGAACTTGAGCTCTGTCAGACCCATCAGGTGGTACAGACACGACTTTTTGGAAAGTGTCCTAAGCGTTTGTTAGACCTTCTGTTTGTCTGGCAGAGTTGTGTCCAGCTAGATACTGCTGCTGGTACAAAATTACTGGTTTGCAGGAAAGAACTAAAAATACCTGAACTTAGATGAGGTCAGACTGAAACCATTTTTACATCTAGTTTTGCCTGTGAACAAAACCCCCCTATTTTAGCCAGCTCTAGCCAGAACTTTGGCTTGCTTTCTTCTAATACAACAAAAACTGAATGTGAAAGTACTATAGCAAATCACGGTACATACCACAGCTGGATATATACCCAGAAATCTTACTAAGCCTTTATCATCCAAATAGTTACTGTTATGGATATTTGTATTTTTAATACCTACTAAAATGAAAAGGTGTTGTGCCACAGAACTAAAGTAATGCCAATACCTACGTAAACTAAAAGGTAATGTAATTAGGTAATGCAAGGTAAACTAAAAGGAGCTCATTTTCCCAAATCAGCCATAAAGATAAATCTAAGTAAGACTAAAATGGGGATTTTAAATGGATTTTTGTTTAGAGTTAAAACAAAATACTCTCACCAAATCCGAGCTTGCATGTTAAAGAAAAAAAAATCTGCATTTTGAGTAATCTCCTCACTCAAGATCAGCTAACTTACCTCACTCCCTGCCTTCTACCACTGAACACTATGTACATGAAAGTCCTGTGAGACTGTAAGACACACATAACAAATACTGAAAGAACTGAAAAAGGAGTGTGTGTGACATACATAAGAGGATACCAGCATTTCTAACAGTATTTCATTTGAAAGAAAACTGCCTTTTTTAGGCTGTTTAGTTTAAAAGGAAATCTGTCAGAAATGGTAATGAAGAACAAGCAAACATCAACTCACGGAATTCGAGAGTTCTTCCATGAGCTCGCTAACTACGCTTCTGAGAGCAAGATTACAGAGATTTGATGCAGTAAATTTGATAAAGGCAACTTGCAACAGAATTTGTGTCTCAACAGAAAAGAAAAAAATCCTTGCACCCATTAACCCCAGAAATGGTCTGAGTCAATGGATATATGCTGAAGGGAGCTCTGGAAGTTGGCAAACAGGATCCAACTATCAGAAAACCGAGTACTGGAGATTACCTGTTGAGAAATGGCAATGCAGAGTCTTTCTTATGGTCCCATCTGAACATTGGCTAGAAAGATGGAAAGAAAATCAAGTAACATCCATACAATGCATAGATCCAGAAGAAGCCAAGAACCCAGATAGTCTCAAGAGATACGGACCTCAATGAAGACTGAGGAACAAGGTCATCAAGTATTCTGTACTCCAGAACATCAATGAATTCTCCAATTCATCTAAACACTCCTCACTTGGAGTTTATAAGTGCCAGATGATCCTTAAAAGTATTAATTCCCTACAGTACTGTGCTCTGTAGGCCAGTAAAATATTATATTAAGATATTACCTCTTTATGACTTGTATGGACATACCTTTAAAAAATGTGGCTCTTACATTCACCACCTCCTGTAGATGATTTCACTGACCTGCCACTCTAATTTCCATCTAGTCCGGCTGAATCTCAAACAGTTCCTCCTTTCAGGCACTTGTCTCAGTCAGGCACTAGGAAAACAGGGACTCTGGATTTGCAACAGCACACAAAGGAGGTGTGTGCTGTGCAAGACCAGCACAGCGATGGCCCTCCAAGTGAAATGGCCTCACTATCTTCCCCGGAAGAGAAATGCACTCATGAAATGCACATGGGAGAAAGCAAGCAGGTTTGCAGTATTCGACAAAACTTGTAAAAACCCAAGTAAACATGAGCAAACCCAAAATACGGTGCATAACAGGACTCAGTCTTAAAAAGCCCAGTAGCTGGGTGGGGGAGAGGGAAGAAGTGTAGTGCTATGCAGAAACCTTCACTTCACACAGGAAGGGAGGAAATCCTATGTATCCAACAATTAACAAGTATGGGGGGTAAAAATCCAGAAAAACTATGGAGCTAATAATGGCTCTAACTCGTCTAGAAAAGGATCCTCATCACTACTGAATCAAGACAACTATTTTGAGAGAGGAGTGGGAGTCTCAAATGTTACAGTTTAATATAGCTGCCACTCCCTACACAGAAGAATATAAGGAAGGACTTTTTTTCTTCTCCCCCATGAGGTCAAGATTTTCAGAGTCACAGGCATGAACTGTCCATTTACAACGTCACATGCCCCACCCCTGGCAGTGTTCAAGGCCAGGTTGGACAGAGCCGTGGGCGACATGGGCTAGTGGGAGGTGTCTCTGCCCATGGCAGGGGGGTTGGAACTAGATGATCTTAAGGTCCTTTCCAACCTGAACTATTCTATGATTCTGTGATACTCTTAGTGAGAGTCACATGCATTAAATGATCATTCAGGGAGACACATGACACTATCCCTGGTGTACAACACTTCAAAAAATAATTTAAGTTAGAATATTGAATATCCTATTCTTCTGCAAACTACAGTATATTTTAAAAAGAAATCTCATCCAAAATGATTAACACTTCCTACTGTTCAGAAAAAAAGCCTGCCCTTTCAGACTAGCAGCTGTGGATCATTAGCTTTCCAGTGATGAGATGTGTTTGATGAGTATTTTTCTTCCTAATTAAGAGATGAGATTCTCTATTTGACTCTTTCTTCAGACAGAAGTGAAGAGAATGATTTCTGCCTATGTGGAAAGGCCATATTCTACGGAACAATTATTTCAGATTTCTTTTTATCTACCTCCACCCAATTTCATTTCATTTTTAACAGAACCCTGTTTGCATCCACAGGCTTCACAGCATTAACCCCTCCATTTCCCAGCTCATGTTATTTTTCCTTTTGCTTCTGTTTTGACTGCCAACAGAGCAGAACACTTAAGAAGAGGATCACTCCACGCAGGACAGACTGACCCACATCTTCAGATGCAGGAGAAAGCAGTGCACATGACAAGGCAGGGCTGCAAGTACTGCTGCTTCATAGAATCACAGAGTGGTTTGGGTTGGAAGGGACCTTAGAAGCCATCCAGTTCCAACTGCCATGGGCAGGGACACCTTCCACTAGATCAGGTTGCTCCAAGCCCTGCCCAACCTCGCCTTGAACACTGCCAGGGATGTGGTTCTTGCTTGAGAACCTTCCAACAAAAACTAGAAACTGCTCACTGCACAGAACTGCCTGGGTTTGGTGGCAGTCACAGGACCAGGCATAAGATGCTCCCATCTGAGATGCAGGGAGCTTTCCAGAATCTGCAGCCTCACAGTGACCTTGATACGAAGATTGCCTTCAGGCAAAAGAGAAAAGGGAGCTTGATGGCATGCCAGCTTTTCTGCTTCCCAGCTTCTCCTGGTAGCAACAGGGAAGAAGTCCCCATTGGTGAGCCTGGCCAGCCCCAGGCTGTCATGGGAGCTCTTGAGATCAGCACTGTCAGCTACCAGAGCCATGAGCTGTATTGCGCTAGACAGTGCGATGGGCTATGGGTACTCCCACCAGTGTTGGAATACGCAGGGCATGCCACTCATATGGCAGCCTCCTTGCCAAGTTGTGGCTTTCTCCGATCATTTTCAAAAAAGATCCTTACGGTTGCATTACTTATTACCTATATCCTTGCATTATATGCATTACTCAACTCCTGACTACCTTGGAAACACAGAAGTTGGCTGCACAACGTTTTGGCAGCTCCAAACACTATGCTCTAATGACAAGATCATCCATTTACCCTTTAAGCTTAAAAGGACAACCGTATTTCCTGAGGCTTTGTCCCCTGGACATATTCTCTAAAAACTGAAAGGAATGAAAGATAACCCCCATATCTGCATGGTACAGAAACTCTCTACCACAGTACTGTGGGTACCAGAGCTCTGGTAAAATTCTGCCTGGTGTATATATAACAAAGCACTTGAAAATACTTTTTGCTGTACCTTGGAGAGTCAGTAGCTTCCTCCATTACAAAAGTAGTCTGTTACCTCTGGCAATCACAGCTCCTCTCATCTTGTATGACACTTGTACTAAAAAATTAATACAGAAGCATTTCTTTAAGCTGTATCAGATCTCAAACATGCCAGTACTAATGTAAACAGTTATGGGAATCCATTTCAAATGCAGTGCCCTTATGCAGGTGAGTCTGGAAAAAATGTGCCTTTTGAACATATTCTAAGGCATCCTCCTTTCAGCAGTCTTGCAATTTCACTTCCAATTACCTGAGTGCCAGGACAAGGTGCAGTCTGAAAGGTTGATTCTA